TCTTTTGAGTCGATAAGAAGACGTTTTACCATTCGTGTGACTCTAAGGACCTGGCTGGTTAGGCTATAACCAAAAGTACCTCACATTAACCTGTAAAACAACAGTTAAAACAAAGAGGAACACATTTGGCATAATACCTGTGAGAAAAGCAGAGAGGTTAGACTGTAGAAGGACAGACACTCCTGGTCCCCAGGTGTTCTACATTACCCTAACCAGCCAGGTGTGAGGTAGACTGCCCTGGTTGGCTACTAAACAACCCAAAGGGATGTAACAATGACCAGATCAGATTCCAGTCATTTTTAGTTCGTGTACGTTCAAGAAAAATATTTGTGAAAATGTTATTTTTATAGGAATTTTTTTACTGGAACAGAAAAATTCCCCATCCTGTGTCCTCCTTTACCAACAGGTGAGATGTTTGTCCTGTATCTGATAGGCTCGCTTAGTGGTTTGAACCCAGGCTCCGTCTGTTGCAGTCCTTGGGCGAGACACCTCACCCTCGTCGCCTGCTGGTGGTCGTCAGAGGAACCAGTGGCACTAATTGTGCCTCACCTCCGTCAGCGTGCCTCAGGGCAGCTGTGGCTACAATGTAGCCCATCACCGTCAGTGTGTAAATGATTGTGATGAGAAGCACAAGTGCAGGTCATTTATCCTTCAACATAAAGAGGATAAAAACACAAGAGTAAAATCCAAGTATAAGCACAAACACGCAAAGATATTGACTGAGTAGGTTTGTTTCATTAAAGAACTTTGTAGTTATATAAAACATTGTTAACACCTTTTGATGTTAAATGTAATAAAATTAATCAAAATAGACTGAAACTCATCTCATTATTACCGTACTTCTGTCTATGTACAGGCACTCTGGCTAAGATAGAAATGCCTTGTCTATCGTCGTTGTCTTCCTCCGCTTATCCGGGTCCGGGTCGTGGGGGCAGCATCCCAACTAGGGAGCTCCAGACCGTCCTCTCCGCGGCCTTCTCCACCAGCTCCTCCGGCAGGACCCCAAGGCGTTCCCAGACCAGATTGGAGATGTAACCTCTCCAACGTGTCCTGGGTTGGCCCGGGGGCCTCCTGCAGGCCGGACATGCCTGAAACACCTCCCCGGGGAGGCATCCAGGAGGCATCCTAACCAGATGCCCAAACCACCTCAACTGGCTCCTTTCGATCTGGAGGAGCAGCGGTTCTACTCCGAGTCCCTCCCGAATGTCCGAGCTCCTCACCCAATCTCTAAGGCTGAGCCCGGCCACCGTACGGAGGAAACTCATTTCGGCCGCTTGTATCCGCAATCTCGTTCTTTCGGTCATTACCCAAAGCTCATGACCATAGGTGAGAATTGGGACATAGATCGACCGGTAAATCGAGAGCCTGGCTTTCTGGCTCAGCTCCCTCTTCACCACGACAGATCGCCTCAGCGTCTGCATCACTGCAGACTCTGAACCAATCCGCCTGTCGATCTCCCGATCCCTCCTACCCTCACTCGTGAACAAGACCCCGAGATAATTAAACTCCCCCACTTGAGGTAGGACCTCTCCCCCGACCCGGAGTTGGCAAGCCACCCTTTCCGGTCGAGAACCATGGTCTCAGATTTGGAGGTCTGATCCTCATCCCAGCCGCTTCACACTCGGCCGCGAACCTACCCAGCAAGAGCTGAAGTTCAGAGCTGGATGAAGCTAGGAGGACCACATAATCCCGCAAAAAGCAGAGACGAGATTCTCCTGCCACCAAACTCGACACACTCCACACCACGGCAGCGCCTAGAAATTCTGTCCATAAAGGTAATGAACAGAACCGGTGACAAAGGGCAGCCCTGGCGGAGTCCAACCCTCACCGGGACAGGTCCGACTTACTACCGGCTATGCGGACCAAACTCACGCTCCTCTGGTAAAGGGACTGAATGGCCCTTAACAGAAAGCCACCCACCCCATACTCCTGGAGCGTCCCCCACAGGGTGCCCCTGGGAACACGGTCATAAGCCTTCTCCAAATCCACAAAACACATGTGGATTGGTTGGGCAAACTCCCAAGCCCCCTCCATCACCCTTGCAAGGGTATAGAGCTGGTCCACAGTTCCACGGCCAGGACGAAAACCACATTGCTCCTCCTCAATCTGAGATTCAACTATCAATCGGACCCTCCTCTCCAGTACCTTGGAGTAGACCTTTCCAAGGAGGCTGAGGAGTGTGGTCCCCCTATAGTTGGAACACACCCTCAGGTCACCCTTCTTAAAGATGGGGACCACCACCCCGGCCTGCCACTCCACAGGAACTGCTCCCGATGACCACGCAATGTTGCAGAGATGTGTCAACCATGACAGCCCTACAAGATCCATAGCCTTGAGATACCCAGGACGAACCTCATCCACCCCCGGGGCTCCGCCGCTGTGTAGTTGTTTGACTACCTCAGCAACTTCTGCCCCCGAGATTGGACAGCCCATCCCCAGGTCTCCCGGCTCTGGTTCCTCCTCGGAATGCGCATAGGTGGGATTGAGGAGCTCCTCAAAGTGTTCCTTCCACCGTCCGACTATAGCCTCCGTTGACGTCAGCAGCTCCCCATCCCCACTGTAAACAGTGTGAGCGAGTTGCTGCCTTCCTCTCCTGAGGCACCGGACAGTTTGCCAGAACCTCTTTGGAGCCGATCGATAGTCTTTCTCCATGGCCTCACCAAACTCCTCCCACGCCCGAGATTTTGCCTCGGCAACTGCCACTGCTGCACCCCGCAGACTACAAAGTCTATCTTCGAGCTGCGACCTAGGCGGCCCTGGTACCAAGTGTACCGATGGGCATCCATATGTTTGAACATGGTGTTCGTTATGGCCAAACTGCGGCTTGCACAGAAGTCCAATAATGAAACACCACTCGAGTTCAGATCAGGCGGGCCGTTCCTCCCAATCACACCCCTCCAGGTCAAGCTGTCATTGCCCACGTGAGCATTGAAGTCCCGCAGCAGGACAATGGAGTCCCCTGATGGAGTACTATCTAGCACTCGTCCCAGGGACTCCAAAAAGGGTGGGTACTCTGAACTGATATTTGGCCCATAAGCACAAACAACAGTCAGGACCCGTTCCCCGACCCAAAGGCGCAGGGAAGCTACCCTCTCGTCCCCCGGGGTAAACCCCAACACACAGGCAGAGAATCTTGGGGCTAACAAAAAGCCAACCCCAGCCCTCCACCTCTCACCCAGAGCAACTCCAACAAAGGAGAGTGTCCAACCCCTCTCAAGGACTTGGGTTCCAGAGCCAATGCTATGTGTCGAGGTGAGTCCGACTATATCTAGCCGGTACCGCTCAACCTCTGCCACAAGCTCCTGCTCCTTCCCCGCCAGCGAGGTGATGTTCCATGTCCCAAAAACCAGTTTTCTTGTCTGGGGATCGGACCGCCAAGGCTCCCGCCTCGGTCTGCCACCCGATCCACATTGCACCGGACCCTTCATGTTCCTCCTGCGGGTGGTGGGTCCACAGTTGGACGAGCCCATGTATCCGGTTCGGGCTGGGCCCGGCCGGGCCCCATGGGCGAAAGCCTGGCCACCAAGCGCTCGCTCACGGGCCCCAACCCCAGGCCTGGCTCCAGGGTGGGACCCCGGTAACCCTCCAGGCCGGGTACTCCGACTCTTTGACTTTACCTCCATGAAAGATCCTGTCTATCGCCTAGCTTAACTAAGATAATGCTCAACACTTGCCATAATAACATCTCCACATAGCCTAACCTGAAATGACCTTTGTCAAGTTGTAGCCAAATGGATGGACAGATGGATCCTTCTAAATACCAACATCTTCATGAAACTTCATGAGTGGTAGATCTGGAGCTCCGGAAAGTTTCGGTCTATTTTTTCCAGATGCGGATTGTCATGAAGTGAAAGAAATCACGAGCCAGACAGGAAGTGAGACGTGGAACAGCGAGGTACATCTGGTATTTTTCTAAATAAAACCCCCTATCACATTATGTTTTTTTCACTTTTGTTTTATTATTAATGAGGATATCAGTTTACAGAGCATGATGGTTCACATTGTTTTTACAGGTTTGTCTAAGCATACTGTGTCAAATTCCAAATCATTTGGTGCTTGTGTAGGCAGCAGAAGCTCAGGAGGTAGAGAGGGCTGTCCAGTAATCAGAAGGTTGTTGGATCAATCCCAGCTCCCACCAGAGAATGCTGATGTTGTGTCCTTGGGCAAGACACTAAACCCACTTGCCTGCTGGTGGTGGTTGGAGGGACCGGTGGTGCCTGTGCTTGGAAAGCACCGCCTCTGTCAGTGAGCCTTGGAGCAGCTGTGGCTACATTGTAGCTCATCACCACCAGCGTGTGTGTGAATGCATGAACGATGCAATGCAGTGTAAATCACTCTGGAGTCCCCAGATTCAGAAAGACGCTATACAAGTGCGGGTCATTTATCCTTTGTGGGAGCAGACAACTGGAAATATTGTCGGTGTGAATAACGGCCCGTAAGGAAAGCAGACCACAGCTACACCACATTCGGTTCGAAACAGGGTTGGAGACAAAAAGATTTTGAAATAAATGGTAAATGGCGTGTATTTGATATAGCGCCTTCTAGAGTCATGGAACCCCTCAAGGCTCTTTACAACACAATCAGTCATTCACCCATTCACACACACATTCACACGCTGGTGGGGATGAGCTACGATGTAGCCACAGCTGCCCTGGGGAGCACTGACAGAGGCGAGGCTGCCGAGCACTGGCGCCACCGGTCCCTCCGACCACCACCAGCAGGCAACGTGGGTTAAGTGTCTTGCCCAAGGACACAACGACAGCGACAGACTGAGCGGGGCTCAAACCTGCAACCTTCTGATTATGGGGCGAGCACTTAACTCCTGTGCCACCGTCGCCCCAAATAAAGTAATTTCAGTTTACTCATGACTGTTCTGATGTTTCTTAATGAAAGTCGGACATGTTTTTTTGCATGTGACTTCTGGCTGTATTCATTTGCTCATATTCATGAAAATGGAAAAAACTGCACAATAAAAGCAAAAGAGTGGACACCAGGCAGACTCCTTTATCAACTGGTTGGTTTATTTATCATTAGCAATGACACCAAATGTACTCTACTGTTTTCTCTTGCTATCATAGGAGATGCATTTTGAAATTGTAAACAGTGAAAATGATAAAATGCATTCAGGAAACTCCTAACAAGCAGTGTATGACCAGGGAAAACAAGTAGATTGAACTTGCTCTTATTTTTTTAAACATGTCAACTTATATTTTGAGTCTCTCTCATATTTACATAAATACACGAAGGCCCCACATTCAGAACAGCAGAGACCTGTTGATTTCTTGTTTTTGTTTATTTTTATTGTGTTATCACATAGTTTTCTTAAAGAATTACATTTACAACCATTGTTCTCCCAGCTGCCTGCTGCCAGGGTGTTAACACACAGTTAGTGTCACTCGCTTAAAACCATTAAACTACTTATGCTTCTTGAACGTTTACGTAGTAAGTCGACCTTATAGCTCTAGAAGTATTTTTGTTTTTATCTTAACAAATAAAGATAATGCAAAGCTCAAGCTGTTCTATTCTCCACGTTAAAAAATGTTTTCCAAAGTAACAAACAAACCAAACATGATAATAAAATAAAAAATATTGCACTTAAAAGATCAGGACAGCATTGGACCTGTTTGGTGGTTTAGAAGTAAAAGCTTCAGGAGGTGAGTGCTTTAGAGACTGTGAGGGCATCTTTAGAAGCATTCTGTGAGTTACTCTAAATAAATATTTGTACATGAAACATTTGCCATTTAACTACAAATTGGACAACCTTTGTGCGTAGCCCAGTAAAATAAGGGAGTGCATGTTGGAACCCTAAAATGCATTAAAAAAAAGTGTAGAAAACCAGAAACTGTGGAGAAGATAAACCAAGCTGCAGCCTGTTCAACAAATGTCCTGAGAACGCTTCCTGATTAGTCCAGAATGAGCTACAATGTTAAAGGAGATGCTGTTTTCTTCCTGGTTGTCCATTCCTTTAAGTAAACAGTCTTCGGAGGCAGGAAGCAAGTCGTCTTTTTGTCTCTGGCTCCAAACTTGACCTTTTAATGTCTTTGGATGGGAGAGGTACATATAATTGCATGACAGCACAACTCCGGTCCATCAGACGTCTCCGCTGCCACCACCCCTCAAACTATCCAGTCTTGAAAAGGGTGAAAGTTGTTTTCAGAAACTTTGAGTGGATGGAAGGATTGACAGAGTCACTGTTACCATTTACACACCTTGTTTTTGTTTGTTTTTTAATTTTTTTGCCTCCTGCCTGATGAAAAGACAGGGATGAAAATGCGGCCTTTGTGTCGTACCAGAGTCATTTCACAGAGGAGAACGTGGTGGAGCGAAGGAGGGAGTCAGAAGTCTCACACGAGGGGAAAAAAGTGACAAAACAGTACCGGACTGTTTTCACGTCTGCAGGGTTTTGGGTGCAACCCACAGCCCAAACCCCACAGTTGAGTCAAACATAGAACAACAAAAAACAGTGATCAGACAAGCATTCACCTCCTACTGCAGTTTAGTAACATCTATCCATTCATTCATTCATTCAGCCACCTGGCATGTGTGCAAACTACATTCCTTTGCATTGCCATAGCTTTGCTGTGTCCTCTCACATAATAATTCTAATGAACAACAAAATACGCACACATACAAAAACACAAACAAAAGTAAAAGGCAAACCACAATGCTTGCATCCCACCCACTCTGGGTTTTCAAGTCTGCCTCTGAAGTTTCTTGCATCGTTCTTTTCTCCTCGTCTCTTATGACGAAGGTGAGGTGGACGTGGCGCTAGCCTTTTTTTGGTTGATTAAGTCCAAGTAGAGTTCTGAGCGCAAGAAGCGGGGGTATGAGTCCTTCTCCATCAGCCCGTATATCCGCCGCTGCGCTAGGTCAAAGCAGGAGCGCGTCACATTCTGCAGGTTGTCCTTAGTGTGGTCTCTAGTGTAGGAGTCTAGGTTCACCTGCAAGAAGAAACAAAAAAAGACGTAAGAGACCCATAAACAGGAAGCAGGAGTGTATAAGGCAACGCCATCCCCATCGACTGTTCTTACCTCTTTACACGACTGTATAGCGATGTATTCTGCAAAGATTTTCTTTGCTTTGGAGGCCATCTTTGACTGTGACTTGATCTTCCTGTACTCCTCGCATGCTAGCCAGAATTCCAGATTCTCCTCGCTGAACTCTGTGCGCAAGAAGGCTCTGAAGGCTGCCAGACCATCTGAGGTAAAGCAGAGAGGAGGAGGAGGGTAAACAAAGGGAAGAGTTGACTGAAGTGCTATGGCAACCCTCACGGTTGAAGCTCTCCTTGGAGTTTCAGGGCCTAAAATAGCTCTGTGACTGACTGCCTTTTGAGTCATGTGGTCGTAATAAAGCGAGGCATGAAAAAAAGCTGCAGCTTTAATCAAAGTCCAAAACACACACTGAGTGACATCACACCCTAAGTCCCTAATATTCAACCCAACGTCTGCTCTGTCCCGCCGCGGCTTAACAAAGAGAGGTCTGTTTTGTGTTCAGGGAAACAACCTTAGCGGTTTGGGCTTTTTGAGTGTCTGCCCCATTAATGGTTTGAGGAAGAGGGCACCTAAAGGAAAGAATAGCAGGAACTGAGTCCACCCACGGACCCTGCCTGCACCTTTTCCGTTCCCATGAATCGGCCACGCTGATAAGCAGGGCCAATCCAGGCTCTTACCTCATTCTGGTGAGCAAGAGGGAAACAAGAATGTAGAGGAGAGGAAATGAGAAGAGGGGGAATGAAGAGCTGAATGGATACCAGATGTAGGGCTGGCTCTGGATCAGAATTCTGTTTTTACTAAGAATTAGGAGCAGAATGGAATCGCAGGGGACAAAAATAGAGTTTCTAAATTCTTTGTTAGGATTAGAGGAATGCCTGTTCTTATCAACTGTGTTTGTAGAGCATTAATCTTTACATGCATGTTTACATCATCTTTCCCTTACGTCTGTGTAAATGCATCAAGTCCAAATCTGCTGGTAAGTAAAGAAAAAAACTTCAAAAGAAGGAATAAAAAGAAACTTACATTTGTGCGTCAGCAGCTTGTCAAGTGAGTCCCCCCATTTCAGTGCTTCCTCTGGGGTGGGCCTGCAGATGAAAGCAGAGCGGTTCTTTAACAAGCCCATTTCAGTCAGGTTTCTCATTGTGTGACCCATCCGCGGGACTTGGGTCAACGCTGGATAGATGAGTGGAAACGTGTGTGCTGATGGTTCCTCTCTGCTGCTTCGCTCCGCTCTAGTCTGACACATTCAGCTTCGCCTAGTCAACAGTATCAGCACCGTTAGTCATGAGTCTGTCTGCCTCACTGTGGTGGGGGTTTGTCTTTTAAATGTGAGGCAGCATGGGGGGGAGGTGCTTCAACCATCCAATCAGGATGTGTTCTCGGCTTTAGAGAGCTGTTTCTACCAGCAGCGCCTGTCTGCCCCCTGCTGCCTCTGTTTCTTACCTTTAACCTTCTCTGGAATGTCAGATGTTTAATTCTAGGGCCAAGTCTCAGAAAAGTTTATTGTACTAAAATGTGTGATCACTTGGATATTTTTCTTGATAATTCACAAAAATACCTTAAATTAACTCTGAATGCAGAAAAAACTGTCAAAATGTTTACAGATAGTTCTAACCCTAACCCTAGCACACATTTATTGACTCCAAATGCCGTTATTTAAGTACATCAATAAACAGAATCAATAAAGACAGGTTGGTTGATATATTTAAATGATAAAAGTAAGAAACATCATTCTCTGACACATATTTCTTCTCACATATTTCTCGTCCATTTTCTGAATGCCACACCACACGGACGCTCCCATCGCTCTGCCTGCCACCAGCCACGCTGAAATCTACTAAACAGTCTCGCACTCATGCCCACATGCTGTCAGGAAGCAGCCACTTACTTGACTGACTTCATAGATTTGTCCAACTTGCCAGGTGAGTTACTTCCTGGAGACTCATTCCTCCTCCGCAGGAAAGCCAACCGATTCTTCATGTCTTTGGCCCTGAGTGAAAGGGAGACAAAAGACGAGGGTGGAGAGATCGTTACGAATGAATGTGAATGGAGAAAGGAGGGAATGTTTAGGCTAAATCAAAGGACTGGAAACAAAAGAGACAATTAAGAAGGTAGAGAAGAAAACGTGTCTGGTATCCATGCCCACAATCCACTATGAAACCAATCCAAAGCACAAGAGTCATCAAAGAATTTCCATCAGTGCCGTAAATCCAACTAGTATCAAATCCAATCAATCAATACCACTAAAGGTAATCATAAATGCCGTGTACATTGTCGTCTTCAGCTGAGTTACGTTGATGGGAAAGTTATCCAAGAGGCAAATCTCCTCGTCCGTCCTCTCTTGTCAATCTAATATCTCATACAGTCTTTCCTGGAGAACGTCCCCGGCAGGTCGCTCGACAGGGATTAAGTGAATGAGGCAGCGGAACAGAGAGTCAGTTCTCACTCCTCTGTTTCATCACACCATTCTCTGTGCACCCACAGGAGACTCTGAAAGGAACCCGGCTTGGGGCAGGGGCAACAGGGCATAGTGGCATCCCTGCTCCTCAGCAGCTATCTCTCCAGAATCAGAATCCAAATACACCCTACTGACCACCCGCCGCACGTGATGTACCTGTCTCCCTTCACCCCACACAAAGACGTCCTGCAACGCACTGAAACTGAACTATAAACCAGCACCCACAGGGTCCAAAAGGATTCATCACATTCCCATAATCCCAAGGTAAGTGTCCTGGCTTTTCCCAACCCGGCGCACGTGCTTCCTTATTGGGATGTGACCTCTCTCAACACCCATTTCCTGGGTTCCTGCTTTTGATTTCCACTGTGGATTGACTGGCCCGCTAATAATGCAGCCCGGCGGTGAGCGCTGGCTGAGCCTAATCACTGCAAGCTGTCCCAACCCACAGACCCCCAGGAGAGCCATGCACACCCTAAATTAAGAAACAGCTCTTCCAGGTTTAGACACTTGTCACTCAAACTATGCACACAGGAGAATAGACTCACATAAGCACAAATACTGTACATGAGCGATAAACGCTGTTGTAAAACCATTTCCAGGAGTGGACTGGGGCTGGCATGCTTTCTGCAGGTGTTGGAAATCTCTTCCAGCGTGTGCATGACTGAAGGAAACACGAGAAGAGGTTATTTTAAAGCAACTTGGTTTCACGCCTAACCGAGAACTGTTGGCTTCTGACACAACGGGACAGTGAAAACCTGCCAATACACAAATCGAAACATGAGTGAATGAGAAGCTGCAGGAAGCAGGTGAGGAGGTCCATTCATATTCTAACAACTGGGGGGTTTCTGTGCAGACACATCCAGGTGTGTGAAGGGGGTTGAGCTGGTCTTCCTTGACAGAATCCCCAGGTTGTAGACACTTAATGAAAAGAAGATGAAAATTCTACTTTAAGAGTTATTTAAGTCTCGGATGACTCGTCCATTGACTGAAATAACACCAGCTCTGCTTAAAACAACCTGAAATCCAAATACCGTGCATACCCCCCTGTTCATGAAAACAATAAGACTCTGTAATACAGTTTCCTGAAAATAGCTCCCACTCATGAGCCTCAGAGACGTACATACAATTATGAAAACGTTCATGCTGTTAAATGAACTCATGACACCGGGGCAGAATTTATTAGATAATTCTATTTTTAGGTTTTACTGGAGGCAACTAAGATGACAGCAGATTTTACTAAAAGGGAGTCTCTTGTCTTGTTAGAGCATGTGAGTGAAAACAAGGAAGTCATATTTTGAAAAGGATGTAAAGTATGCCCCTGACCTAACAGAAGCTGCTTTATTATTTATGTCTGGTTGTCAGCAAGCTGAGCTCATGTGAGAAGGATGTGACATCAATGTGTAACAGCAGAAACCTGAAGAAAACTCTAGGTTTCTCTCCTGCCACCATGTGGGAGTTATAAGACACTGCAGATATGAAGAGCTCGAGTAAGATAAATGATCTACTTTTAATTTGAAAGGCTCTACCCTTTGATGAATGCAAACCACACACACAGGAAGCAGTGATGTTGGTATAAGGTTTTCTTTCCCTTTAGTAAAATGAAGGCATGTGCTCTCATTAGCATTGAGGCTATGCATGCAGTTAGGCTTGATGATGCTGAAACCTTCCCAACTTTGTTAAGTATCTTTAATCCAGTGAGTCACATGGATTTGATCTCAGTCATGAAACTATGACAGACTCAATTTGAGAGGTTTATTTTAAAAGTTAAAGCTTCAAGAGTGAGTTTTAGGCAGTCATGTTCGTGCTTATTTTTAAAATCACCAAACAAAGCACAGATGCCATGTTTAATATGATACTGTTCAGCACTTGAACTTATCAAGAGCTCTTTGCACATTTACTCTTAAGGGTTAGGGTCTGAGTACCTCCACCTCACTTCATCTCCCTTATCACTTCCCCACCCGCCCCACCCAGCTGTCCCAATACCATTAGCTATGTGTCCTCCATTAAATTTAATACACTCTGTAACCAACTACACTTGATCCACAAAGAGGCCAGCACATGCTGCGTCCAACATTAATAACAAATTAAAATGATTTTTGATCTAAGGTAACACACCGGGCGTTTCTGCCCCACTGCTCAACAAGCATTTTGCAGCACGTCAATAACTTCTGCACACCTTCCGGGCTACCCGTGTTCATACTTTTAGAGCACACTTTATAAGCTCGAACAGAGGACCAAGAGGTCTTATGCTCTGCAATTATCTGCAGCTTCCCATCCTCTTTATTCCCTCTTTGTTTGGCTTACATTCGTCGCACTAATAGCAAGCCTCTGGCTATTCCTGGTGCTCTGAAAAGTAGGCCGCGCTCTCAGGGAAAGGCTCTGGTGGCACATGGGGAGAGCTGCAGACAGACTAGATGCAGATCGTAATGTACCGTACACGCAATAGGCTCACCCACGACATATTCTCGCTTAACCCTCGATCTACACAAAATGTGGTGGGCTGCAACACGACCCGAGATGAGCGTCTTGCCAGTCCCTCTTTGACGAGGGCTGAGTGCTCGTGAAGTGAATACGGGACACACATTACACTGAGCCGGCCGGTGGGCCTGTTTGTGTATTTGTCCCTGTGGGAGTAAAATTGGTCAAGTTTAGTGTCACAGTGTCTGAAACTCAACAAACTATTTAGCACTCAGCCTAAAATTTATAATAAAGACTGTGGTTGTTTCCCTCTCTGACCTAACGAGGCAGATCAGAGACTTGATATTTCCAGAATAAACACTTCAGTAATACTACATCCTAGTGAAAAACACAGGAGCTTCATAACCAAGAAACAGTCACTTAGTGATATTCCTAGAAGAACAATGAATAAGGGATTTGTCCTAAATTTAGTCCATAAGTATAGCACCATCACATCCACAGTCTGCCAGTCAAGACTAAAAAAAGAGCTCTATTTCTGAGCAAAATCCCCTTTTCTAGCCACAGAAGAGCACATGAGCAATGCTATTCCAGAAATCCAGGCTGTGTATGAAAAAGGGACAGCGGTTTCCTCTGGAATAGTTTAAGCACCTTAGCTTCAGTGCGACTGGCAAATGAAATCCAGAGAGAGGTCAGGTTGCCTCCGACCACTCTGAAAGAAACAACTCATAATTCACACAGGTCCTCCTTCTTACCTCTCCAGGTATTTCTCTGAGAAATCAACCATGGTGGAAATCATGGGTGCAGGCATGAAAGTAGCTGCATGTACACGCGTCAGGAGCAGCAGTGGCCGGGACCCGGGGGCTTGTTTAGTAATCACATTCCTCTGAACCCCCGAGAGGCTCTGCTGGAGCTTTATATAGTCCAGGAGGTCTGGAGAAGGCGGACTTTGAGCTTGTCCAATCCACTTTCAGGGTTTGGGAGATGGATTCCTTCTGCTGGGGCCTGGCAAGGTTTTTATTTGGATGAAGTTTGCTGTTTTGGTAAAGCTTGACTAATGTAACAATCTGTTCTACTGTTCTGTGGTAAAAGTGGTGAAGCCTAGTTAGTCCCACTCCATGTCACCTTTTGGATCAGCTTTTCTGCTCTGGGTGGCTGCTTGTATGGAGCAATAGTTCCCACTGTGTGTCCGGAAATACAATTAAAATCTAAAAGTTTTTAAAATTAAAGGTGTGGTTTATTCAATACATATGCAGTGTTAATAAGTGCAAATCAATGCCTTATGAGTCATCAAAACAAGAAGCTATGATGCTCCTGTTCTGGGATGCAGACGTTTGCTGGTGCAGATATAGGCTAAAATCAGCCAGATTACTCTTTATTGTTAATGGTATGTACACACATGGGTTCTGATTGGCTAACGGCCATGTTGCAAAGTCACTATCACCAAGACACTCTTCGCTCTCTCTCCTCACTGCAATAAGAAAAAAAGCCTTCCTGTGGCCGGGCGCGAGCCAAGATGGTCGAGGCCATGAATTCAAATTCACAGTGTTGCATAAATATGTAAAGATTTTCAAATTCTAGCATTTCACTGTCTATTTTCTATCAGAAGCTAATGCAGGAGATAGGTGTAGAAGATTATTTTGATGTTCAGCCTGCATGAAAAACTCAGAGTGACAGATTATAATCAGAAATAATAAAAAAAAGTTGTTTCAGTCAACCGCACCTTTAAGTAAAATGTGTAAAACCCAGTTAAATCTGTTGCATGAATGATGTCAATAAGAAAGTATATGATAGTAAAGTTGTAACATTTGCTTCTTATGTACAAAGTGTGCATCACTGCAGGAATGCTATCACATTGTAAAATCTTATACTTAATACAAAAAGTATTGCATTCACATCAGAAACGTTTCCTTAAAAAGACTTTCTAGTAAGTGGCTTAATACCCTCAGATGCATTTAGATAATGGAGACGGCTCATATAAGAGTTTAAAAGTGGTTCACAAAACCCAGCAAAGATTTTATTACAAGATCCAATAAGCCCTAATAACTAAACAATGACCAAGCTGTTATAATTACTCTCACTGTACAGAAAAGAGTATGAAATATATTTAGGGGGTA